ACCAAGTTTGTGGTGTGACTGTGGGGGGAGCAGGGCACTGCCCACGGGGTCCCTGTATCCTGTCCCACAATGAATGGTTGCAGCTGAGCATGGCCTGTGTGTCCAGGACTCTGTCACCATGGGGTGGCTCTTGCTTGAGGGGATCTCCTGGGTTGGGGACAATACATTGCTATGTCCTGTACTCACCTGCTGAGTGAGCAGGGCTGGGAGCACAGAGCTGACATTGACTGAGCACCACTGTGGGCTTGGGGCACTGCGTGTCCCCTGCCTTCCCTCAGTGCCTGGGACCAATGCTCCCCTCTCCCTGGGGCTGCAGGGGTGTCCTTCTACTCTGGGGGACCCTGGATAGTCCCCAGGAGAGTGCTGGGCTCTGTCCTCCCCTGGCCAAGGCATCAGCACTGCCTCTCTGTGAGCCTGGGTGTGGGAGGGGGTACCAGAGCCCAGCTCCTCTGGGTCAGCTGGGCCTGGGGAGCTGGTCCCCATCTCTCCCAAGCCCCTGCACATCAGTGGAATGTGGGTCTGCAGCCTTCGGAAGACCAGCTTGCCAGGAGTGTCACCACAGGATTTGTGCTGGGGCTGCAGCACAGCATTGTCCCCATGCTGCCCATCTTGGGCTGTGTTTGCTGACACCCCCTCCCACGGGCACCTGAAGTGCAGGTGACATGGAGCTTATTTGCTTCCCAAGGGTTTATTGGTGCCTGACCTGCAGGGTCACAGCCCCAGTCCATTGAGCCCTGTGAGTTTGGCCTCTCCTTCCCAGAGAGGCCCCCTTACTCCTCCTCCCCTGCCCAGCCCAGCCCATGCTCTGTCCTTTAATCTTTTATTTGTGTTGTTGATTGTTGGGTCTATCCTCCCCGCCTTGTCTGTTTAGGTTCTTGAGGTGGAGCTGCCTGCTTACCTCCTGGCAGTTCTGCCTGTACTTCTGGCCTCACGGCAGCTCTCCTCCCAGAAGAGCCTCCTCCATCCCCTTCAGGAGCACCTGGGCAGCTCCAGCTCAGCTTAGTGTTGCATGTCATCCAGGGCAGCACATCCAGCCCATCTGCATCTCCCAGAGCTGGGATGGTGCCTGTGTGGGCTCAGTGCTGCCCTGCCAGCACCGGGGGCTGCTGCCTGTGCCTGGGGTTTGCAGAGGGCCTGTCCCACAGGAGGACAGAGTCTCGACATCTCCACTAGTGGCAGTTGGTTGAGTCACGTCCAGCCACAGCTCTGCAGGCCCGTGGTGTGGCTGTGGCTCCCTGGGACCACGGGGTTTGCTGGAGTGTGCCAAGCTCTGTCCTGCTCTGGGACACTGCTG